GGAAGGGAGGAAGGGAGGGAGGGAGGAAGGGAGGAAGGGAGGAAGCAGGGAAGGAATGCCAATAGCCAGTTATGAAGGCCCCTGTGATCTTGGGCTCTCCGTGCCTTCGCCTCTCGAAGTGCCTAGGTTCCAAGCCTGCATGGCGCCATCCTCCCACGGAGGCCCGAAACTTGTTCTAGTTGGCAGAGGGGGTTTCAGAGTTGATCGAGCTTTGTTTTGGGCATAGGGCTTATGGGTTAGGATATTGAGGATTACTGTTTGGAGTTCAGGGTTTAGGGTTAGGGTCTAGGTAGTTTGAGGTTTTAAGGTTCTGAGTTTAAGGGTTCGGGTGTCGGGCTTGAACTTCGTGTTTATGACAGATTTTTAGGTGAAGATGTTAGGCATCTCGAAGATGAAACCTCTCAGTCAGTTCTCGCCGGCCTCGGCCCTAAATCCGAAACCCTAGACCCCAAAGCCTTAACTTTAACCCCAACTTAGAGCCCAAGCCCTGAACGCCAAAGCCTTTAGGCCCTGAACCCCGAATCCTAAACCTCCTGCTTGAACCCCCCCTCAAGGACTAAGCCCTAAACCCTAAACCCTAAAATAAGCCCCATGGAGCCTCTACAGCCCAGGCCAGCCACCAGTTCCGTCCGGGCCTTGCCTCAACGGGCACAAAGATGTGGACGAAGTTAAATGTAGTAACTGAATGGTTAGGGTTTAGGGCTTAGGGCTTATAGGGTTTCGGGTGCAGTATTCGGAGCCCCTTCTTCTCAGATTGTACATATATATATATATATATACATATGTATGTAAAATCCTACACTCATAATTAGTATGCATCTCCGCATAAAGTCGCTATAGTCCCATGGCTCAGTATGCCTCGAAACGCGAAGATCTCTGGCTGGAGACCAAATTGGTTTAGGGTTAAGGGTTCAGGGTTTAGGGGTTCAGTGTTTAGGGTTTAGGGCCTAGAATTCAGGGTTTAGGGTTTAGGGTTTCGGGGTTCAGGGTTTAGCGTTAGGATCTAGGGGATCCTTCAGGCCTGCTACCTACAGTCCACCTTTGGGGGCCTTTGGCGTGCTTGGGCAGTTCGGCTTTTTCGTGGCCCTATCCAGAGAACTGGGTTTAGAGGACTCAGGAGTTTGAGGTTTTGTATTTTGGGCTTACAGGTTGAGGGGTCTAGGGGCAAGGGTGGGATTATCGACGAGCTTCCACTATGTAAACTATAGAATGGCCCTTAGAATCTTATCAGCCGTACGCAGTCGGACAAGAGCCCACCAAAAAACAAAACTCAGAAACTATAGTGCCTATGCAAGGGTCCAGTAGAAGCGCTAGATGTTGGAGAGATGTGGAGCCCGTCGTCGGGACCAGAACTGGATCGGTTTGGGGTTCTGGGTTTTGGGTTTAGGAGATACAGGATTCCGGACTATTGCCCTAAAAGTTCACGTGCCGACGAATATTCGAATGCGCTCGGCACTGTTCAAGCCGAGCCGAGAAAGCGTCAGCACTAGCACGTGCTAACAACGGACGGGGGAACACGATGCATACCTGTCGACGCCACACAGGCCCTCCTGAGGTGGATGCGCCTCCTTTGCAAAAGTCCAGCTCAAAAGACAAAGACTATGAACCTGCCACAACACAGTGGGGGACCTCCAAGACCAGTCAAGGAGACGCAAGCCTCCACGGGGCCAGACACTTCAGAGTGGGACGCCTCAGAGTCCGATGACGGCAGCTCCACACCGAAAGCCAGCAACCCTATAGTAACTATGGTATTATAGGGGGGAGCCACGACAAACGGGAAGACGTGTTGAGACCGTTCTATGAGAGGCGCTGGACCTCACATGACACTGTGGGGGACTCGCAGCACAAGGTCCTGTGTACGATGGCCGCCCTGCAGGAAGGGGAACGCACCCGGCGATTGCCAGGCAAAGGGCCTGCTATCCCAACCCCATACTTAAAGAGTCGGGGACTTAGTAAGTAGTTATTGTAAAGACTTATAAGTAGCATAACCCCAATTAGAGTCCCTTTTAGGTTACTTATAAGTCTACTTATTACCTACTTACTAAGTCCCCCGACCCTCCAAAACCCAAGTACCTTACCTATCTCTTGGGTCCATTTTGATCCTTATAAGGGTAAGGGCTTATCCTAAACCCAAGTACCTTGCATAACTACTGGGTCCTTTTTTGATCCTTATAAGGGTAATCTTGGACATTTTCAGGTGGGTAGTTACCGTTATAAGAGCCTTATAGAAGGTCTATATACCTTGTAGAAGTCTTTTAGAAACCCTCTATACCCTAGACTCCCCACCTGTAGTTTCCTTTACATGAGGGGCCCTGAACCTAACTCTTGGGTCCATTTCGATCCTTCTAAGGGTACCTAACTCCTGGGTCCTTTTGATCCTTCTTCGGGTAAACCCTAAACCCTAAACCCTAAACCCTAAACCCTAAACCCTAAACCCTACCGGTGAGG